AAAACTCATCTTGCCTTAGGAAATTTATAAAATCCAAAATTATTTTTCCACTTTCCACTTGAAATCATTTAAACTCAAACTATTACCTTCCAAAAATGCTTTTCATTTTGGGATCAATTGATTGCCCTAGATTATAGCCGTTTTCATAGTCAACAACCTTCTTAATTCTTGTAAGGAAATCTAATTCCCATGGGACTTTATTGGGACTTTATTGAGGAGTTCAATTGTGCTATACTTAAAATTCATGTGCCAATGGGGTCTACTTCAATGGAAAAAGACCTTGATGTGCAGATCAGTGATCTCAAATTCGAACCCCCATGGCACTTTAGTATTGTGTGCATGAGAAAACCCTCTCTCCCTTGTAGTTTAGACTATATCGCTTGTATTATATAACAAAAAAAAAAAAAAAAATCACATACTCATCTTTTCTCTTTATTATATTCTTCTGATATGTGAGGAACTAGAGTGATTGTTTAAATTATATTGTGTTTAAATAAAGTTAACAGTGCTAAATTTTTGTTAAGTGATAAGACACATGTCAAAAGAACAGGGCAGACTGGGCACATGGATTTAGAGAACAACAAATTTGATACAAACATTTTTTACACTGTGTTACTCAACACTTACACAAATTGGGTTTTTGGTTTTTTTCTATGGGATGAGGAATTCAAATTTGCAACATTTTTCATTGTTAGAAAAAGAAAAGCTACTGCCAGCAGGATATATGTGTGAGAAATCTCTCTCCTCTGGAGTTTAAACTATCACTTGTATTTAAAAAAACTACCAGACGAATAAGTGGTTAGTAACCCCTTCACTCATACTTGAACATCATTAGTACTTCTTTGAAAGACAGTATGCTGGTGTTCTTTCATTGTTTCGTATTGAGAAATGCCGGCAATCTAGAATAGACAATAAGTTAATTTAAACTTTTTTTTATTCACACATGGTGCTTAATTTTTTGGGTTTAAGAAGAAGAAAAAAATCAGCCAACATATTTTATCTGTATAGTTTTGTACTACAATATTTAATATGTAGTACACAGAATGCTACTTAAACAAATTGCATCTGCTCTTAAAGTATGCAAATTTCCACCCCCAACACAAGACTGTGGTGCAAAAGTTGTGACTAGTATATGGCATGGCCCAGTTAATTATAGCCAGCCGACTAAGAATCTACTTGATAAGTCTATGGTGGAAGCACCACTAACCAAGCTAGCTGATGGAGTTTAGCACCACAAATTAAATTAAGTACCATTTGTTGTAGTACAGATATATGAACTTCCAGTACTAAAACCCACTTTCCCTTATTTACTTCTTTCTTTATATAATCTCTTCTCATTTTTATTTGGGAGCAAAGCAACCATGAAAACCCATTTTACATATTTCTTGGGCAACACCACAGAAATTATGTTCTCAGGTTGGCCAGGCCAGAGCCTTGAATCTTACATGTTGGCCTTAGTATCCGTCTTTCTGCTCTCTTTGGTGGTAGAGTGGCTTTCGCACACGAAATTGATCGATCGATCTACCGCAGATAATTATGTTTCTGATGGGCTTAAGCAAACCTTGATGTATTCTATTAGGGTTGGATTGGCTTATTTGGTAATGCTAGCAGTCATGTCGTTCAACGTTGGTGTTTTACTCGCTGCAATTTCTGGATATTCAGTTGGCTTCTTGATTTTTGGTAGTAGGGTTTTCATGAGATCGAAGAAGATAGTGCCTAATATGGATCAAACTGACGATCTTACTCCAATCAGTTGTTGCTAAGCAGCATATTGGAGGTACCTTATCATCTGAAAATTGTAATTTTGATTGAAGAATATTCACGTACGTACATATTTTTGTTTGGCAGACGATACCTGTGTACACACTTGTGAGCATATTATTCTTTTTTACTTTCTCTCCTTTTACCTTAATGCTTGTGAACATTGTACAGAAAATTGATTGAATATTAGGAAATTACTGGCCAAACCAAGGGAAGGATTATACGTTATAGGAAAATCACAAGTAAATCTCACCTAGATCAATAGTCTATATATATAATGAGGATGATGGTGAAGTTCAAAGGCACAATTAATGTTCAAGGGGGAAACTAGGAATTTTCATAGGGATTTCGTCTCTTTTGCGAGGATGGTTGACTTACCTTTTACTACGTGTTGCTGGAGTGGACTGGACTGGACCAATACTCAAACTACCTACATCCAAACCAAATAAAATGGTGTTTTTCTTGTAGATAGTGCTTTTTTTTTTTTTTGGTAAAGTTGAAGGGATACCCAATTTGAATAAGGCAAACCTATGTTGCACTGATATTCTTAATTGGAGGGGTATATTAGTATTCAATACTTTGATACCTTGATACGGGTACGATACGCGTTTGATACATATTTGATACAGATATAGGAGCATCGTTGACTTTTTTGAAAGTTAATGATACCTTTCCGATACTTCAAGGATACATTTCCGATACTTTAAGGGGTAATTTTGAAAATATTTTAAAATATATTTGGTGGTTTTCAAAATTATAAAATCCAAAGTTAGAGATTTGGGATGTGGGTTCTCAATGTTTTAATTTGTTTTTGTGTTGCTTTTATTATGATTTGAACAATCCTATGGAAATTTATATTTTGTGTTTTTTTTTATAGAGGCTTGTATTTTGTGTTTAGTTTTATATTTTGAACTTATGATGAATGATTATAAGATGATGGATATAATATTTATTAATTTATTTTAATATATATATTATTTTAATCGCCGTATTCATATCCTAGTTTTTGGAGTTTTGTCATATCAGTGAATCGTATCGTATCATATCGACGTCCTTGTACTCGTACGAGTGCAACATAGCTTGGCAACATACCATAAGGATTTGCGATTGATTGTTCAGTTTTAGAACATACTCGTCGGCTGAAGATTTGCAGCAAACAATAGCCTAGGGCCCGTTTGGTATCCTACTTGGATCCAATCTTATAAACTCAAAAATATATTTGCCACAAAAACCAATTTGGTATGCCCATTTTTAAAAACCCAAACCCAAAAAAAGTGAGGTTTTAGATTTTTTTTTTTTTTTTTTTTTTTTTTTTTTTTTTTTTTCTCTCTTTCTCTTTCTCTTGCGCACAACCAAAATTGATTGGGTTTATGTCTCACATCTTTTTCCTTTTCTTTTGTTAATTTCAATTTAGGGATTAGGATTTCTGATTTTTATTGAAATTTCTTTTAGATCTTAAAGATAGTTTGGGGTTCAATACCAAACAAGGTTTTAAATCTTAAAATCACTATTTTAAAACTCATATTTTAAATATAAAAAAATCATAATTTTTTAGTTTACTTTTTTGAGTAGGATATCAAAAAAGGCCTTAGCTACCTACTATGTGTTATGGTGTGGCAAAAGAAAAAATTTATAGATAAGCAAAAAATTGGGTCCCACATATCAAGCAAAAGATGGTATTAGAGAACCTTTGTCAGTTTGTGGCACTATCACGTCTTTTAGTGAACAAAATTTGACAAATTCAATGAGTCCAGCAATATACAAATTGCTCATAATTGAGTAGGATATGCGTTGAACAATGATCTGGCAGACCGTGACCCCAAAACCACAAGAGCAATTTTCTTCTCTTTTTGGAAATTAAAAAAAAATTATCTGATTGAGTAATAACCCTTCATAGCTTCTAACCATCGCCGTAGATTTTCATACATTTGAACTGGTATCCATAAAAAATAATAAAAATTGAACCATTAATTACCTAACATTTACGGGGGAAAAAAAAAGTTAAAAGTGAACCCTAAACCCTTAATTATCAGTGTAGCGGAAGCGCAAGCTGTTTTTATTTTATTTTTTATAATCTCTAAATTGTATTAAGGAATGATAGATGCTTTTTGAACGTTAGAAATATATTACCACTTATTGAGAGCTAGTTGATAAAATGTGTAATCTTTAGTTAACACAGTAACGCAAGGAGCTTGTAGCTAAAGCTTGAAATTTCAATATTTTGGAATTTGGAATTTTTCGGAATCTCTAGATACATTCCCACTTCAATCCAATTTTTATCGGAATTTTCGGATTTCGAAACTTTCGGATATCAAAATTGATTTGGACTTATCAAAATCAGAAATTGTCATCACCAAATTGGTCCTGTAATTTTAACCCATCCCCATCCATCCATCCATATATGATATACATGTATGTACTATTAATACCATCTGTGTACTATTGATATTCTTCTCTAGGCTGCTACTTTGTTCTATATTATATATCAAACACCGCCAGATGCGTCAAGACGACTTGACCTTAGACTTGACCAACAATAAAAAGACTTAAACCTTAGACGGCATCTCTCTTATTTTGGCGATGCATACACGGCAGTGCCGTGCAACACATGTTTCTTCATGAAACTGCCATGTACTATCTTCATTGACCCGGTGAACTGACAATTCCCAGATTAAAACAAAAAGAAAAAAAAAAAGAAAAAAGAAAAAAAAAACTACAGTCCAAAGTTCAAACGATGGCAATCACAGATGACTTTTCAGGTGAACTTAGGACCAGTTTTTATTTACACAAGAATACTGCCAAGATAATATTAACAAAACACAAAAGTTGATTATGTTTGAATCTATATATATAAAGCAAAAGGCAGATAATGATGAAACATTCAAAATACCAAAAAATGCCCTTGATTAATTCAAATATTAAGAATTGTAATTATTAATTAAATGAGAATAATATGGTAAATTCACATTTTTTAATATTAAAAAAATTAAAAATAAAAATAAAATCAGATAATAAGTCCTACCTTTATAAAACATAACTACTCATGTCATCTTTTCTTAATACCAAAAATAAAATAAAAAATAAAAAAGAAAACCAATTGGCGCATGTGCCAAGGGGCTAGTCCAAAGAATAAAAAATAAATTTTTTTGATTGGTTATAAAATTGACCTCGTCAATTTTATTTTACCAGGTTTTTTTTTTCTTTGGGGTATATATTTGATTCTCATTTAAAAATGACGTAATATGACAGATATACCCCTGTATACATCAAGCTATTTTGGCAAGGGTTTTGCGCCTATTGCATATACATATTTGTAACTTCCCAAATTTCCCAGTTGAGTTTTATCTTTGTACTACACATTACGAGCCCCAATGCGTACGAACAGAATCATTAAGACACCCTAATATCCTTATAAATAGCCCCAACTAAATGCATTGAGAGCCCTCACTGATTTCAAGTTTTCAAACCCCAAACACAAGCAAAATTTTGAGAGAGAGAGAGAAAGAGAAGGTATGGAACATGGGCATATGGAAGGCATGGCATCACCACCATCACCACCATCATCCATGATGAACGGCTCAAATGGGATGATGCACCATAAGATGATGATGCACATGACCTTCTTCTGGGGCACGAACGCCGAGGTGCTCTTCTCCAAGTGGCCAGGCTCAAGCACCGGCATGTATTACGTGTGTCTGCTCTTTGTCTTTGCCCTAGCTGTTATCGTCGAGTGGCTGTCTCATTGTCGTTTAATCAAGGCTGGCTCAAGCGACGTCGTTTGTGGACTGGCCCAGACTTTCCTGCATACCATTAGGGTTGGGCTGGCTTATATGGTCATGTTGGCCGTCATGTCATTTAATATTGGTGTGTTTCTTGTGGCTGTGGCTGGGCACACCGTTGGGTTCTTGCTGTTTGGGAGTAGGGTTTTCAAGAAACCAGATCCTGAGGATGAAAAGGGCTCTGATCTTCCTCCTATGAGTTGTTGATAATTTTCATTCATGGAAATATTAAATGGGCCTTCTTTTTTTCCTTAATTTTATGGATTTCTTTTCAGATTTTGTTTGTGGTCTTGAATAAAGACGATAGATATTTACCAAATTAGTGTTGGTTTTCAGAATTTTTTGCAGAATTATCTCTTTCTTTGTCAATCCAAGATTTTGATATGTGTGGCTGTGAAGGGGAGGGTAAGCTATTGCTCTCATTACAATCAAGTCAAGTCAATATTCATTAATGACTATGGGCTAAAGGGCCAACCTTTTGAATCCTTGAGCCGTTTTAACGGATAGATGTGCTATAATTCTGAATTGCAAAGAAAACAATTTTCGAAATTAAGATTGATTCTAATTAGCTTTGGAGTTGTTAAAGATAGAACGACGATGACATCAAAATTAAGACTGATTCATTTATTATTTTTCAAGGGAGATGTCAAATACCAAACATCAAATTTAAATTTGATGGCTGATGTGGCAATTTGACATTTACCAGTTTTATACTCCACCTGATATATCAAATAAATAATTATTGTAACAGTCAAATCATTTAAGATAAAGAAGAAAAAAAATAATAAAGGAAAATAATAAATGAAAGTTACAACCAGTTGTCTTTAAAAAATAATAAAATATTCATTTGACATCTTGCTTTTGAGATGTCAAAAATAACAACTGAACCTCAAGCCTTTATTAGAGCATCTCCAAGGGAGATGTCAAATACCAAACATCAAATTTAAATTTGATGGCTGATGTGGCAATTTGACATTTACACAGTTTTACACTCCACCCGATATGTCAAATAAATAATTATTGTAACAGTCAAATCATTTAAGATAAAGAAGAAAAAAAATAATAAAGGAAAATAATAAATGAAAGTTACAACCAGTTGTCTTTAAAAAATAATAAAATATTCATTTGACATCTTACTTTTGGAATGTCAAAAATAACATCTCAACCTCCAGCCTTCATTCCACATCAGCTTTGACACATCGGTTGGAGTGATGTGAGATGTTATTTCTAGCCGTTAAATGTCTATGTGGCACTTTTGACACATCTGTTGGAGATGCTCTTACACATCAGCTTTGACAATTCAGTTTGAGTGATGTGAGATGTTATTTATAACCGTTAAATGTCTATGTGACACTTTTGACATATCGGTTGAAGATACTTTAAAAAGTATATCACTAAACTAATTAAGGATGGATTAGAGACTATAATTTAATTTATTAAATTCAAGAGTTATAAGCTGTATTTGGAAGGAGGGATTCTTTTTTTTTTCCTTTTTTTTTTTTTAATCAAATAGAAGCTTTATTAGATGAACTTTAATGGTATAATCAAATACACCAACAAGACATCTAAGGAGGGTGTATTTAATTTAGATTTTAAATGATTTTAAAAGAGTTATAAAGTTTATGGAGTTTAATTGAATTTAATTGAGTTTGACTGAATTCTACAAACTCCACGTAGAGTTTGATTGAATGTGTGTATAGATTTTAATTGAATTTGTTAGAATTTTATTATTGATTTTAATGGAGTTTATAGCGATGGAGGTGGTGGTGATGACGATGACGGTGGCGATGGTGGTTTGTAGGGGAGGTAGTGGTGGAGGAGATGGGGGTAGTAGTGGTGGTGGCAGTAGGAGTGAGGTGGTGGTGGGGGTGATAGTGACGGTGGCGGTTGCGGTGGCGGGAGTAGTGGCAGTGATAGGGGATGTGCGTGAACACATGATGTCCTTCTTTTGGATGTGGTGCGGTTGTGCACGGGTGTGCCAGCACGGTCTATCGTGCGTTAAGATGGTGATGAGGTTCGGGTAGAAGATGTTCAAGTGATGCGCCTGTTTCGAGTTAGACTTCTAATCAAACGATTGTGGCCGAGAGAGGAACTTATTTCGGCCGTCAGGTTCACGGCCTGAGCTACAAGGCCGTTTAGTAGTGGTGTTGATGGTGGGTTTTGGGCGGTGCTCCGGCGCGTTGCTCAGAGAGCGACGGTCGTATGATATATGAGGTGAATGAGACGATAACAAGGGTGGTGCTCCGGCGTCTTGAAAAATCAAGGGTCGTATGATATATTGATGAATGGATTTTCCTTACAATCTACCACTACTCCTAGGAAAGCAATTAAAGGTATTGAAAGTGCGTTACAGGAAAAGATAAATTGCTCCGTGTGAGGCTTTTGGTTTTGGTGTTGGACCTTTTGAACGTGGCCTTAAGCTTAGTATTTATAAGAGGAGTCCTGGAGGGCTAATCGACGCATTAAATGCGCAGGCACGTCGCTTAAGCCATCATTGCCTTGATTCGCTCGAGCCGTCGCTTCGCCTCGTCAATTGAAAGGACGGCCTTTGGGCTTCTGACACGTCATCACGTATTCAAGCACACTGTCAGACCGTTACGTCTCTCGAGAGGATCGTGCCTTTTCGTTTCGAATTCTAGCGCCAATATAAAAGCTCATCCCTCTTCATTCCTTCCTTACGCTTTCAGAATTTTCAGACGCCCAAACTCTGCCAAAACTCTTCTCTCAATCTCTCAACCCTTTCGAACTTCTTATCTCAGCACTCCACTTCCTTCTGCCCAGTTATCCCTTTGTCTGAGCGCTTGGCTCCCCTGTGTTCTTCGTGTTCATCATCCCCTCTTCGACTTTTTCCTTTAAAACACCCCACTTTAATCCGTTTTAATGGCCTCCAGCACTTCTGCCTCTGTTGAAGCTCTGTCCCAAGTCTTCCAAACTCAGTTTGAAGACATCTGCCGAGAATTCCAGGGCTCGGTCCTTTCTGATATCATTGCGCCCTGGACTGATGATGACGGTGTTGCCACCGATTCCTTCGTCCTCGGCCCCTCCGTGGAAGAATGAATGCCAGAGAGGCAGGCTGTCCATTTGAGGGACAACTTGGTGAATTTCTCGGCCTTTGATGGGGGGACTTCCAAGATTGGAATGTCGCCAGGCCGCAGCCCCAATGGCCAACCTCGACCCCGAACTGGGAAAAATGGCTGGTGAGGATGGAGCACTTCTTCGGCCAGCAATAGAAGGATCAAGGCATTTACCACTTGATCAAGCTATTCGATCGGCCACTCGTCATGGACCAATCGCTCTTGGCCGCAGCCCTATGCTTCTAGTCGTCGGCCACAAATACTATGAACTTCCGGTTTGGCATGATGACGCCGACCGTTCTAGATATGGCCACTTTATTCGGCCTTTCCCCTCTCGGCGTAGAAGTAAACGTCGCTTTGGTCGCCCCTAAGGCCGAAGGGAGCTTCAAGGCCACGTGACCTACGGTCGCCAAGCTTGCTGGGAGTAAGGCAAAGAACATGCTCAACTACTCTAGCTTCTACAGCAACTTCGGCGTGGAGGACAGCGCCGATGATGATTCTATTGCTCCCTTGGGCGAGGTCGAGCATGTCGCGTTCTTACTGTATTGGCTGTGCAAGTTCGTGTTCTGCACCCAGGCGAACAAAGTTACCCTGGAGTTCGCCCATCTGGCCGACTATCTTGCGTAGGGCGGAAGGCTGGCGCTCGGCCCAGTCCTCCTCGGTCATATCTACCGCACGCTTCACGATGTGGTCACCGACGGGATGAAGCCGAAGCACGGTGGTCCACTGTGGGCTTTCCAGTTCTAGCTGCAAACTTACTTCCCAGAGCTGAGGGGGGCGGTCAGTATTGCCAACACTGAGCCGTTGGCCAACGCATTCGCTCGGGCCCCAGGAAGCATAACACCTCGGTCTTCTGCTACAAATTTTTCTATGAGCTGACCGAGAGGACAGGGTCACAGTTCCGGGTGTGCCTCACTCGGCCGTATCCTTTGTACCTGGCGCACGACCTCTCCGTGATTCCTGACGGTGAAATGGAGAACGATCTGAGGGAGATCTGGGGTTCCTTCCTGGTCACGCGCGACCTTCACTACGGCTTGTCCAAGACCGGGGCCGAAGTTTATTTGCCGCATTTCGTGGCGCGGCAATTCGGCCTGATCCAATCGGTGCTGCTTCCACCGTTGTCAATCAACCGGCTCTCATCTTGGAAGGCCGACATCACTCAACAGCACGGCGTGGCTGGGATCTCCTTCCAGCTTCAGAAAGGGATGACTTTTCTTACCCTGAGGTCGTGGATGCGTTGAAACACGGTCGACGAAGATGGAAGGCTCTGGTAGGAGGAGTGCATCTCGGCCAGATTCATCCGCCTGTTGAAGAGGCCGTGAGGGGGGCTTTGAAGAATGCAGATTGGGACCCCCTTCTTCCCAAGGCTGGCAAGGCGAAGAAGGCTCCGGCCGTGCTTTCCGGACCGAGTACGCCGGTCGCGGCGGTACCCAGGGTGGCGGCCCCTCCTTCGGTCAGAGCGATGGTCGTGACTCCATCCGCGGCCCCACCCTCCAGAGCGCCTGCTGTGGTGGGGGCGAGCAAAACCTTGGCACATAGGACCGGGCCACCCTCCCTGCCTAGCTACCGTTGGTAAGTCCCTCTTTCTTTTTCTTTTATGTTTTTCTATCGGCCTCTCTGAGTCACCTTTATCCTTTATCTTATTTCTTAACTTTTTTGCTTCTCTCTCTGTGCACGTAGCCCCGGGTCGCAAGAGGGGTCGAGAGGCTTCAAGTACTAAGGCCACAGCGGTCGAGGCCGTGCCGGCCGAAAGTTCTGTGGTAGAGACGGCGTCGTCAAAGCGGCCGAGAAAACGGGTCCTCCTTGATCTTTCGGAGGGCGAGGACGAGGAGGAAGTGCCTTCGGTGATTGTGAGTGAAGCCTCTCCCATGACCGTAAGTACTTCTTCTTTATTTTTTGTTCCCTTTTTCCTTTTTCCAGGCCACGTGC